AAATCCCATAGATTGTACATAGATTAATCCATTTCTTAGGTCCCCTGTCAGTGGGGTTTTACCAACCAACACCCCTACCCCCACCCTACGGGCACACCGCACCCCTACCGCTGAAGCTCCATTCCACCAACCCCAACTCCTCTCACCAACCTCATCTCCCATCTCCCATTCTCTGATTATAATATAAACTTTTGTTGTTTTTTAAGTTGGAATTTCTAATTCCATTGCAAAATTTATTTACACCCCAATTTCAAACTCCAAAAATTTCCAAGAAAAATGGCTGCTTATTCTCTGCAGGCCTCATCAGGCATTGCTTCAATGCACATTCAGCTTAAACCCCATTCAGATTCACAAAGTTTTAATTCCCTGGCTTTATCTTCCCAACTTCAACGTGTCTTCCTCAAGTAAGATCGTCCCTTTTGTTAGTTATTTCTGTGTTTTTTTTTTACCTTGTTCTTTTGTATTTTTAATGTATTGATTCTTGCTTTGATGTTCCCAAGATTTGCGAAGTGTCTTTCTTTTTAATTCTCTGTTCAAGCTTTTAGACTGAGTGGTTTTACGAAAGTTGTGCACATGTTATACATGCTATCAAATAAATGAATCTGGTCTGGACGTTAGGAACATGTTAAAAGATGTGATTTAATATAAAAAATTCAGTTAACAAAAATTCAGTCGATGAGTTAAGCTTTTAGGAGTGATTAATACTTTTTTGTGTGTAAGTAAAGGGATTTTTAAGGACCCCAGTTAGTGAATTAATCATGGTACAGTAACTAAATCTTTTGTCAATTATAATGGGGATCATTCAATATTCTCAAAATACTGAAGAATTTGAAGGAAAATAGGATTTTGGATTACAGGTTTAACAGTACTTCATTATGTATTCTGGGCACACCTCGAAAAGCCAGTTTCTTGACATAATATTTTGTTATTATATTTAGGGAACATTAAATAGTTTGATTTACTTTAGGCCATAAAAGTTTTGATGCTTATTGAAGTCAATATCTTGTCAAACATGCTAATGAATAAATTTAAAGACAGCCTTGCCAATGAAACAATAATAGTTGGATTATATAACAATTAATATTACTTTGCTTGGTAATTCTTTTCGATAAAATTACAGAGCAAATTTCAATACTTTATAAAGATCAGAATATTTATGGGGCCAAAAGGTTTATCAGTTTGATGTAAATGTCATCTCCAATAATGTGGTATATGTTCTTCTTCTAGACTAATCACAAAGAAAATACTGTCTCCAATAATTTTCTAGACTGATGAAAGCCAATCGCTCCATTTTTCACATATTACGGTTCTGTGTTTTATAACAGCTCCAATATTATAAATTGCATACTATCAAACAAACTCAACGGGCTATCTACTGGATGGAAATGCAATTATAAATATAACGTTGTTTCTATTTCTGGTTAGATCTTCAGTGAAAACAAGAAAAGTAAAAGAAAGAATAAGTGCATCTGTTAAGACTCAAAGCAGCTCAGACACAATGAAAGTTGATATCACACTGAGTCCTAGAGTAAATTCTGTAAAGCCATCAAAAACAGTGGCTATAACTGACCAGGCAACAGCTCTTGTACAAGCTGGCTTCTCTGTTATTCGATTAGCTGCTGGAGAACCTGACTTCGATACTCCCGCCACAATAGCTGAGGTGATTCTGTTATATTCATAAGCAGACGATTGTTTTCCGGTTAAAAATCAAAAGAATTTTTAGTTTTTGCAGTAACATATCACTCTATGTATCTTCTTACAAATTTAGGCTGGAATTATTGCAATTCGTGAAGGATACACTAGGTATACTCCTAATGCGGGTACATTGGAACTCCGTTCTGCTATTTGTCACAAGTTGAAAGGTACAAATATGATATATTTCAAGGGCTTCACTAGTTATTTTAGTATAAATTATTTTTTCTGTCCTTGTTTTCTTGATATATATTATTTGATTACAGAGGAGAATGGGATATCTTATACACCTGATCAGATTTTGGTGAGTAACGGGGCGAAACAGAGTATTCTTCAGGCAGTTCTTGCTGTATGTTCACCAGGAGATGAGGTATACAGTATACTTATTAACGTCTTAAAACATTGAGGTTGTGTTTGAGCCCCATTTTTATGTAGAATATTTTTTGTAATAGTGATTTTTGAAGAATTTGTGGTTAAAAAGTCAATTTTTTTTTAAAGTTTACGTGTAAAATTATTTTAAGCCTGTTTGAGCCTCTTTTTGGCTAATAATGTATTTTGAAATAGTAGATTGATAGAAAATGTATGGTTTAAAAATAAGGAAAATTTTTGAGTTTGCGTGTAATATTAATTTATTGAAGAATGTGCAATTGAAAAGAAGAGAAAGAAAAATATATTTTGAAAATAATGGGGATCAAACAAGGGCTTTATTGAGAGAATGTGTTATTGAAAATGAGTTTATAAAAAATGAGTTTTTATAGAATGGGGCTCAAACATGAGTTGATTAGTGTTTCACCTTTTATTTCTGGCAATTATATTTTTAAGAAAGTAACTTGCAAATATGTATTTAAGAAATTAATCTGCAAAATCATGGCTGTATGTTTATAAAATTTAAATGCGTATATATATGCCTTTGAAATTGGCTAGCGCTTACGGTCATATCACATCTACAGGTTATAATTCCAGCTCCATTTTGGGTGAGCTACCCAGAAATGGCGAGGCTGGCTGATGCAACCCCTCTGATTCTTCCAACCAGCATATCTGAAAATTTTCTTTTGGATCCAAAGCTTCTTGAATCGAAGCTCAGTGAGAAATCAAGGCTGTTGATTCTTTGCTCACCATCCAACCCGACAGGGTCTGTTTATCCCCGTAAATTGCTCGAAGAGATTGCTCAGATTGTAGCACATCATCCAAGACTTCTGGTAGGTTTTCTAAATCTTTTTATTTGGTTAAATAACTGCATTTTGATACAATGTTGATTGGTTTTATTTTCCATCTTCAACTTTTTTGGCTCTTTCTTTCAGGTGATGTCTGATGAAATTTATGAACATATTATTTATGCACCGGCAACTCATACAAGCTTCGCATCTTTGCCGGGCATGTGGGATAGGACACTGACTGTCAATGGTTTTTCCAAGGTATTTGTACTTCATTTCTTTAAAGAACTAGTCCTAGATGCTGGTAACTCGGAATCTTCTCAACATGGTATTTGAGCAGGCTAAGGTCCTTTTTCCCAATCTTGCCGCCATCCATCAATAAGAACTGTGCACATGTCATGCATTTGATAAAAAATGAATCCAGCCTACATTTGAGGAGGCGCGTGGAAAACTACTTATAAATAAATAAATGTTTTTGCTCTTTTATTAAATTGTTCAACATATCCTTTTCCCTTCTTTTTGATCCTCGATGATTTCTTTGGGCTTAATACCATCACATTCACAATGATCACTTCTATTGTTGTCTACCTTAATAATTATGCGATTTCCACAGGCCTTTGCTATGACTGGATGGAGACTTGGATATCTTGCTGGTCCAGAGCACTTTGTTGCTGCTTGTGGGAAGATCCAAAGTCAGGTATCTTTCTACGTTAATTGAGCATGGCTGAATTTTTTGTATAAACCAAGCTCCTTTTTTTTTAGCACAGACACTTCAACTAGGGTAGCGTGTCCGTGTCCGACATGTGTTGAATACCGACAATCCTCGGACATTCTGCTATGATCATTTTTCTTTTCTTATTTGAAGTATTATATATTTTTAACTAAAATTTATTATTAAATAACAAATATGTACTCATAGTTAAAATATTTCAATAAGAAAAATTAATA